TTGTAAATATCTTGAAACCATAAAGTTAACTCCTATTATGTGACTGTTGATCATGCCTCATCCTTCCTCGAATGGCTCAATACATATCTTTCCCGAAATTGCAGTTTCTGTCAGAGAAAACTTTTCCAAAGAGATGGGCACTCTTCTTGGATTTAGGGTATACCAGGAACTAAGACTCCTTACAGAATCTAGGGATAAACTTATGATTCTTAGCCAAGTATAAATGGTCAAAAGTTAGAGCAAAACTTTCTACGGTCCCCAATCAACTTAAAGCCACTCGATAATCAAGTATGGCTATCTTAGTGTTTACTAAAATATATTATTAGGCTATCCTCTTGGACCCTAAGAATATTTTGGTTTCCCAGATGATATAAACTGGTTAAAGTAAGAATTAAAATATATGGGTTTTTAAGTATTCCACCACCACAAGGGGCAAAACTGTACTGTTTGTTTAAATAACAATTTTAGTGACTTATTATTAGAACTTAATATATCATGCAGATTTAAAATTATTAAAAATAAGCTTAGCTCTCCTTAAACAATGGAACCAAGCTGAGATCATGCTAAAGAGTCATCAAAACAAAAATGAGGAAACTGCAAAATGCAGATTCCTCATCAAATACAGGATAGAAGTCAAGAAGAGTTGGCTGGACACAAGAGTGCTATAGGTAATGGAAACAACAGATAGGAATAGGGAAAAACACCCTAAGGAAAGACATTTCAAACAAATACTTTCATTTCTTCTATTATGGCTTTTAGGGGGGGAAAAAAGAAACCTTATAAATAAGGTCATGTTTTTCTTGGGATCTTATATAGTCTAGAAGACAATTTCAGATAAAGCATTGAAGTAAACACCCAATGAAAGATACAATGTTTAGCATTGAGAAGTACAAGTCTAGAGGTTCTGCATATGGAGGACCTCAAGTAATCTGACCATCTATTTGCTGGCAGCTGCAAGAAACTATGTGCCACTATAACCTAAGGGAGGTAGACAGACAACAGTAAAGCTCAGTGGGTACCAACAAATTCAATAACAAACTCTTCCTTCTTTGAACAATTCTCTGTCTACCTCAGCAAGAAGTTTCATATTAGTTCTGATTTCCTACATTATATTTGTCACTAAAATTTTTAATTTGCTAAATATTATAAACAATATACCTGACAGTAACCGGAGAAACAAGTTGTTTTATTCTGCAAAGAATGCAAAAAGCACCACCTGGTGGCCAGTGGCTTTAACAGACAAGCACAAAATTCTGTCTCTAAAAAGGAAAAACTGGATAGTCTCCTACAGATAGCAATTAATTGGTTCCAATTAACTAAAATCCTATGGAATTTTTCTTCTAGACCTTTAATGCCTGTTTTCCAAATTACACCAGAATCATCAACACCTGTAAAAAGAGTGAGGCTAGGAAAAGTAGGTAACTACCTTACTGTAGTCTCAAATGTACATTTAGGGAAAATTATTCAGACATTGCTGTATCATTTAATAGTATTTTAATCTTGACTAATTTTAATAAATCAAGTCCTTATTAAAATAGCTATTTTAAAAATTTAATTAGTATTTTAAATCCCTCTACTAAATAACTACTACTTTGAACAATCAAGTGTTCACAATGGCTTGATAATGCAAAATATGTTCCAGAAAACTGACCTGTTAGTGACTGTTACCTTTCCAAGCTCAAGAACTTTTTAGGACCTATATTCTTTCAAAGGCAAGACAGCTAAGGGAGGCTCATATCTGCTTCAGTACTATTGTGCAGCTACACAGGGAACTTTCTGATAGGCTTAAAACATCTGCAACGAGGACAAGCACCGAAGTAAGCACCTGCTTGACATTATAGTACTATAAAGAATTAAAAAAAAACCACACACAAATAGGCTGAGGGTATCAGAGAGGGAGGGGGAAAGCTTACCCTTTAAGAATAGTAAAAACTTTTATCGTCTTTAATACATATTTGAATTAAGAACACAGAAGGGAATTTGCCCGCTGCTAACAATAGATGACCTAATATGATAAAGAACTAAAATCATATTTTGCTTAAACTGGATGGTTGTGGGACATAGTGGAAAGAAGCTTTCAAAAACCTTTTAAAGGCCGGGCGCAGCGGCTCATGCCTGTAATCCTAGCACTCTGGGAGGCCGAGGCTGGAGGACTGCTTGAGCTCAGGAGTTCCACTCTGTGTAAGAATGAGACCCTGTCTCTATTAAAAATAGAAAGAAATTAGCCAAACAACTAAAAATAGAAAAAACTAGCCAGGCATGGTCACATGTGCCTGCAGTCCCAGCTACCCAGGAGGCTGAGGCAGGAGGATCGCTTGAGCCCAGGAGTTTGAGGTTGCTGTGAGCTAGGCTGA